CAAATTCTATTCTCTCTTTTTCTGCCAGTGTTACTGGAAACTTGAGCCCATCTACCCACTCTCTCACTCGCTCTTCACCATCTCATCATCGCCCATTTGGCGAGCTTTTAAAAGGTTTCACGCTCTTTCGTAAGTGAATCCTCTCTTCTTTCGCTTCCTTTCTCCTTCACCCTGTTTGGCAAATCAATCGGAATCAAATTGGAACGACAGAGCACAACGTGCACCGAAAGCAGTGTGTGCAAGGCAAAAGAAGCCTCTTTCTCTGATTCTCTCTCCGTTTCTGCAGAGTCCCTGGTGGACCCTTACCATCGTCATGTCGAGTAGAGACAGAGCTCTGAGGGACAGCTGCAGCAGTGTGCAGTGTCTACACAGCCAGTCTGCACGTTTGTTGGATACATCTGGCCACTGTTGTCGTGTGGCATTCCAATTTGTGCTCGCCCAGCTGCACCTGTTCCGATTGCGCCCGACACTCACACAGCAACGGCAACGACGGCAGTGGCTTCTTCTTTGCATTCGCCTTCTTCTTCCTCCTTTTCAGTGTGTTCTTCTCGCATGTTCAGCTGCTCTTTCAAACGCTGAACTTGCACAGCTGAAGCTGCCGCTGCCGAGTTTTCAGTTTGCAGCAGTTGGTTTTCAGCTTTTCGGGATACAAAGTTGCTCAAAAAGTTGCTCCACTCCCCTCTCTCTTGAATACTTAAAATATTGATCGAAAGCAAGGAGACCCGAAAAGGTTTTAAAAGACACAAAACAGCAGCAACAGCAGCAACCAAAATCCCACTAATAAGCATAATCCTCTCTCTCGGCGTCGCCGTCCAATAAAGTCACCAAATATTGACTCAGTCTCAATTCTTCATTCATCAAGAGAAGAGAAAGAGGAGAGAAGGTCATTTGAGCACAGAAGCTGGCAATTTAAGAGAGAGAAGATTGCCATCGAATAGACCGTCGTCCATTAATTGGCACTCTGGTCATGGTAGTGGTGGTGGTGTCAATGTGAGGACAGAGACNTGCAATTTGAGAGAGAGAGAGAGAGAGAGAAGATTGCCATCGAATAGACCGTCGTCCATTAATTGGCACTCTGGTCATGGTAGTGGTGGTGGTGTCAATGTGAGGACAGAGACCCCAGACCAGACGAGAGACCGGGACTTGGCCTTTGGCGCCACGTGGCCCACGTGTTCAGCAGCGCTGGACACGTGTCATCATCATCATCAGCCGCAGTTGAGCCATTCCATTTGGACCGTATGTGCTAGTGCCTTTCCACTGAGTCTATCATTTCCTCTCTCTCTCTCAGGCGAGTGGCTTGCTCTGAGTCACCGAGTAATGAAGAAAAACAAACTTAAAGCTGAGGAGAGGCATAGGAAGAGACATTGAAGGCCACATGCCGAATGAATTCAAGGCCGAACTTTGGTGACAAGGGAAACCAGGGAACTCTTGCCACTCCTTGGCGCGTGTCTTGCAGATAGACCGATGCAATGATGTGGCAGACACTAACAGACCGAAACACGGGGACACACTCTGACTGACTGACTGTCAACCTAACAACGGAAACGCGCAACTAAAGGAGAGACAGAAATGATGGCAAAGGGATACAAAAAAAGAACAAAGGGAAAAGAAGGACCAGACAAGTGAGCTCGAAAGGGCAGACCAGTCGGTGTGCTGGAACCGGTCACGTGGCCAAGTTGCCAATTTCCTCTCTCTTACTAGTTTTGGATCAATCCAAAAGTGGAGAACGTACAAAACGGCTGGTGGCTGGTGTTCTTGGGAATAACAAACCGGAAAGTGAGAGGACAAAAAGAGACACACCGACCACAAATGGAACTGCTCGTAGAACGGCACGTTGCTCATTCATCCAAAATCGAAACTGGACCTCAAACAGAAAAAAATGTGAACTTGAACGAGTGCACTCCATTTCTGTGCAGCACTGCTAGCGCCATCCGCAGCCAGTGCAGCACACTACAGTGCAGTGCCCGACTTGATTGCCGCATCGCCGTTCAATAGGCGCTAAAAATACCAGTGACCATCTTTAACAGGGAATCACTTGACGGTTTTTGATTCCGATAAATAATAACAACAACAAGTGTGCCAAAGTGCAACATCAGCAGAGCAACCACACTCTTTGTAGCAATATCAGAGAAAAGAAAAAAGTGCAGCACTTTTCACTGATGCACTCTGTGCAACTCAGGCAATATTGCTTGCCTTGCTGCACATTATCACCCACAGAACAAACACCACCAGACAGCAGACCAGTGAGAAGAGATTCAGTAAGTGAGCTGCAGCTGCAGTAGACCTTAAATGGAACAGTGCATGTTACGCCTTTTGCAAACGGAAAAGAAAGAAGGGCAAAGAAAGAAAGAGAAGGTAGAGCGGGAAAGTACAAGGAGAGACAATCTTCTATTTATAACGCCCCCTCCACTACTGGCAACCGTACAAGAGAGTGCACATCACAGCAGCAACCAAGTAGAGGAGAGACACCAAATCGGAAATCATCACTATTCATTCTCTCTTTTGCAGTCTTTACAGTAGACAACCCAAAATTCGAGCAATTCAGCAGTGAAGGAGAAGGAGAAGGCGAATGACGAGGGAAAGAACTGAAACGGGGGACAACAGTAAAAATAGAGCAACAGCAGGCGAGAAGGAGAATCTTCCAGGCAGCACTGTTTACTTTACTTTACTTTGCTTTGCTGTGTGCACTGGTTCAGTACTACTGCAACCGATGGGCGGATGAAATTCTACCGGAGAAATGAGGAGCAGCAGATGGAAAGAGAGAAGGCAAGGCAAAGAATGTAGGTTAAAATTAGAACCTTGAAGTGAGGAGAGAGCACTTCATTTTGTTCTTTCTCTACATCTGTACGCCCAAAAAGGCATCCTCCGAGCGAGGGCGTCATCAAGCTCTGAGCATCACCTCAGCGCCAGCCACTATCAAGAATCCTCTTTCCTCTCTCTTGTCTCCTTTTCCCGTCACCATTTTAGTAGTTCAGTTGAGCAGCCTCGCTCATTCGACGCCAGCACTTTGTCGTCTCCTCATCTCACCTCTGTTCGTGTTTTTGTGCTTTTTGGTGAGCTGAACTGCTTTCTAAAATCTAGCTGTAAAAATCCTTTACCTGCTGCTGGGCCGTTCCAGAAACTGTGGGTGAATCTCTGTCTGAAACCATCAGCAGCTCTGTTCTCTGCTTCAGAAAAAGTTTCGCATTCTGAATACAAGTATTCTTGTAGTACTTGTTGAAAAAAAGCCCAAATTTCACAAACAAACTACTAACCCACATTCCAAGCACTTTCTTTTTTGGTGATTTTTTTCTAACTCTCTATCATTTTTCTACTATTTAGTTTTGCAAACACTAACTCTCAACCATGTCTGATGAAGAATCCGAATACTCGTAAGTTAATTCTACTGTTTGCCCTTCGTTAAAATGGAATCCCAACTAACGCCCATTTTTACCCTACACCACCACAGTGAGGAGGAGGTCGAGGAGGTAGAAGAGGAGGTCGTCAAGAAGTAAGTACATCACCACCCCCACTTTTACCCTTTGACCTCTAGTTGACCTTGACATATCTCTTCACTCACCCACCTTAGGCCGGCCCCACCCAAACAGGCGGCCCCTCCCCCAGCGGAGGCGAGCGAGGCGCAGCAGGCCATGGACGAGAAGCTGATGAAGAAGAAGGCCGAGGAGGAGGAGCAGTGGACTGAGTACGTGGAGCAGCGCAAGAAGCAGCGGTCGAAGGAGGAGGAAGACCTGCGTAAGCTCAAGGAGCGCCAGGCGGCCCGCAAGCAGAAACGTGCCGAGCAGGAGCGCAAGATTGAGGAGTTCAAGCAGCGCCAGGAGGCGGTGCGCATCAAGGAGCTGGAGGTGCGACGAGCGCGCGAGGCAGAGGCCAAGCGCAAGCGCCTCGAGGACGCCGAGCGCAAACGAGCGGCCATGCAGGCGGCCATGGACAAGACGAAGAACACCAAGGTCGAGCGCAACTTTGTTATCACCAAGCGCAGTGACGGCGGCCCGGGCGCCTCGCTGGGCAACACTGGCTTTGACAGGGTAAGGGGATGCTTTGTGTAATTACAGTTGGAAAGAAGTGCTGAACAAGTTCGTTTCCTTCGCCCACAGTTTGCCAATGTTCTCTCTGCTCGCTCTGAGATGGGCAAGACGAAGGAGCAGCTGGCTGAGGACAAGCGCATCGCCATGTCCTTCCGCGTGAAGCCGCTCGACATTGACGGTCTCTCCGTGGACGACCTGAAGAAAAAAGCCAACAACCTGTGGGAGATGATTGTCCAGTTGGAGTCGGACAAGTACGATCTGGAGGAGCGACAGAAGCGCCAAGACTACGATGTAAGCTAAGATTACACTTTTTTACAAACTAATCAAACACTCCTTCCTTTTTCCTTTCCCAGCTGAAAGAGCTGGCCGAGCGACAGCGCCAGATCAACCGCAACAAGGCGCTGAAGAAGGGTCTCGACCCTGACGCCCTCTCCGACAAGTTCCCGCCCAAGATTCTGACTGCCAGCAAGTTCGAGCGACAGGTCGACCGACGCACCTTTGGCGAGAAGAAGGGCCTTTTCGAGGGCGTAAGTATTAGCAGGGCTACTAAAAAGTTCACTGTGACCTAAACGTCATGTTATCCCTTTTCTCCAACCACTATAAATCAGGGCTACGACGCCATGGTTGAGGCGACCCTTGAGAAGATGTGGCAGGAACGCATCAAGGAGTTCAAGGAGAAGGAGCACAAGGAGACGCCCAAGTGGGACCCGGAGCACCCGAAGAACAAGGAGACCTACGAGCCGGGCGCACGCACCTACGACGACAACGAGGAGGACGACCTAGACCTGCTGGACGCATTCATCAAGCCGCCCGGCTTCGATGAGACGCTGGCCGGAGAGATCCCCAGCCAACTGCCCATTGCCTCCGCCAAACCGGCCGCCGCACCTGCCCAAGAGGAAGAGGAGGAGGAGGAAGAAGAAGAGGAGGAAGAAGAGGAGGAAGAAGAGGAGGAGGAAGAGGAGGAGGAGGAAGAAGAGGAAGAGGAGTAGAAGACACACTCCTCACTCTTACTTCTAGACCCTCCACAGATTCAGCTCTTTCGCTAAGTTATTTCTTGTACCACAACAACCTCTATTCTCTATTCTCTCTAACTGTACCCTTCATTGACTTGCTATGAATAAAAATGTATTTCATATACAGCTAAAGACTAACTTGATTTAGAACAGTAAAATAAAGTAAAAGTGTACTTACATGAGCGTTGACTTCAGCGATGACAATGATGATGGTAGAGCCAGGATCCTGGTTTTAGCGATGATGAGTCTTTTAAACAAAAAGAGTAAAAAAGGGTTTGTGAAAACAACAAAGGATGACAAATTGTTAGAAGGTAGTGAAAGCTTGAGCTGACAGAGGACTTCTCTCGACTAAGACTGGAGAACAACTGACTCACTACAGATATGTCANTCTGTACCCCCTTCATTGACTTGCTATGAATAAAAATGTATTTCATATACAGCTAAAGACTAACTCGATTTAGGACAGTAAAAGTGCACTTACATGAGCGATGACTTCAGCGATGACAATGATGATGGTAGAGCCAGGATCCTGGTTTTAGTGATGATGAGTCTTTTAAACAAAAAGAGTAAAAAAGGGTTTGTGAAAACAACAAATGATGACAAATTGTTAGAAGGTAGTGAAAGCTTGAGCTGACAGAGAACTTCTCTCGACTAAGACTGGAGAACAACTGACTCACTACAGATATGTCATTCTAAATGCTAGAGAGAACAATGCGTTACTGAGTTCTATAATCTCAAAGTTCAAAAACACAACAGATGAAAAAGGTTCAGACTAAACAACAGACTTGAGCGCCAGCACCAACATCATCATGAATGCACATCCAAGAAAACCTATTCAGTGTCATCGGTTAANAAGACTTGAGCGCCAACACCACCATCATCATGAATGCACATCCAAGAAAACCTATTCAGTGTCATCGGTTAAACTGTGAGTAGAAAGTGAAAATACAATTTAATCAATATCATTCAGCATTGTGCAAGTGTGCCGGTGCAATCTGTGGTGCACGTAATGTGTGTGTGTGTGTGTTAATTAGCATTCAAACAGTTCAAATCACAAAAGCGCGACTACTAATTGGGGTTAGTGTGTGCCAAATCGCGTTCATCCAATTGTGCTGAGGGCTTTCAGCGCCAGCGTCACCTTCTCCAGTTCTCCGTTGAACTGCGTCAGCCTCTCCTGGTTGGCGGCCTGCACGTCGACGGGCACCTTGTTCTCGTAGTCGGCCACGGCCATCGACTCCTTCAGCCTGGCCAGCTGACCGGTGATCTTCTCCTCCTTCGAGGCGAGTCGCTCGCTCTCCTTGGCGGTGTCAATCAGCCCCTTCAGGTGCATGAAGGCCTGGCAGGCGTCGCTGATGGTTAGAATGGCGGTGCCTTCGGGCGGCACAAAGCTGTCGTCGCTAGCATTCTCTGCCGAGGGCAGCACTTCAATAGAGGAGCAGTACGTCAGAAACTGCAACAAGTAAATCATTAATCATTAGCAGATAATCACCACCACTCATGATACCTTAATGGTGTCCAGGTAGGGCGCCATCTTCTCCTGCAGACCACTGGCGGCGTCAAACCGCAGGAACAGCTTCACCTGCGTCTTCGCGAGGTTGTACTCCGAGCGAAGGCTGCGCACCGAGTGGAGAATTCGATCGACAAAAGCGACCTCCTCCTCGAGGAGCTCATCCCGGCGAATGCCAATCTCAGCAAAAGCCTCCACGGTGGGGTAGGCGGTGACGCTAATACTGGGCGGGTCGGCGGCGGCGTCTCGGCGCGGCAGGCGCTGGTACAGCTCTTCAGTGATGAAGGGCGTCAGCGGATGAAGGAGACGCAGGCCAATGTCTACCACAGTGTATAGTGTCTGGCGGGCAGCNGGCTGCGCACCGAGTGGAGAATTCGATCGACAAAAGCGACCTCCTCCTCGAGGAGCTCATCCCGGCGAATGCCAATCTCAGCAAAAGCCTCCACGGTGGGGTAGGCGGTGACGCTAATACTGGGCGGGTCGGCGGCGGCGTCTCGGCGCGGCAGGCGCTGGTACAGCTCTTCAGTGATGAAGGGCGTCAGCGGATGAAGGAGACGCAGGCCAATGTCTACCACAGTGTATAGTGTCTGGCGGGCAGCGTTCGCCGCGACCGGATTTGCCTCTGCGGCGCCAATCACCGGCTTAATGGACTCAAGGTAGGTGTTGCAGAACTTGTACAGCCAAAAGTCGTACAGCAGTTCGGTGAGATCGGCAAAGCGGTACTCGGTGAAGGCCTCGCCCACGAGCTTCGTCGTCTGGTAAGCGCAACTGAGGATCCTGGAAAAAAGAACGACAAAATTAAAACTCTTTTTCACCACAAAGTCACCACCCAAACGTACCACTTGTCCAGCTTGGACTCTGACCCGGTGAGAGTCTGCTTGCCATGGCCGTTGGGCACAAATCCCGGGCCTAGGTTGAGCAGCGTAAACTTGATGGCGTTCCACAGTTTGTTGCAGAAGTTTCGGTAGCCCTCGATGCGCTTAATGTCCAGGTTGATGTCCCNTGGGCACAAATCCCGGGCCTAGATTGAGCAGCGTAAACTTGATGGCGTTCCACAGTTTGTTGCAGAAGTTTCGGTAGCCCTCGATGCGCTTAATGTCCAGGTTGATGTCCCGCCCTTGAACGGTGTAGGCGAGCAGACCGTAGCGCAGGGCGTCAGTGCCGCACTCAGGAATGCCGTTGGGAAAGTCCGCCTTCTGCACTTTGATGGCGCGTTCGTACTCTGCGGAAGGATGGTGATTAGGGGGTTAATTAAAACACAACAAGATCATCAGAAACACTTACCATGCTCACTGAGATTGGAGCCCTTGAGCGTCTCGTGAAGTTCCACCAGTGAGATGCCGTTGATGACGTGCACCGGGTCAATGACATTGCCCAGCGACTTGCTCATCTTCTTTCCGTGCGCGTCGCGGATGATCGAATGCAGGTAGACGGTTTCAAAGGGCAGCCGCTCAGTCAGCAGCAGACTGAGCATCACCATCTTCGCCACCCAGAAGAAGATAATGTCCTGGCCGGTCTCGAGGAGGTTGCCCGGGAAGAAGGCCTCCAGGTCGGCGGTTTTGTCTGGCCAGCCAAAGATGGCAAAGGGAAAGAGGCCTGAGCTGAACCAGGTGTCGAGGACGTCCTCGTCCTGCTTCAGCGTGATCTGCTCTTCGGGCACCCCAAAGAGGGCGGCGGCCTTGCGACGAGCCTCAGCCTCGTCCCGTCCGGAAACCCAGTGACGGTTAAACTCCTCCTCGCCAGCTGCTTCGTCCACCACCTGTCCGTTGACGGTGGCAAAGTAGATGGGAATGCGGTGGCCCCACCAGTTCTGCCGTGAGATGCACCAGTCGCGAATGGTCTCCATCCAGCGGAACCATGTCTTCTCGTGCAGCTTGGGGAGCACCTTTAGCTTCCCGGAGCGGACCACTTCCGCCGATCGGGCGGCAATGTCCTTCACGTCGACGTACCACTGGTACTTGATCAGCGGCTCGATGATGTCCTTGGAGCGGTCGCAGATGGGCACCACCATGGCGTTGTCCGCCGCGCCCTTGTACAGACCTAGCTTCTTCAGCTCGGCAATGACCGCCTTGCGCGCATCAAAGCGCTTCATGCCGCTAAACAGTGGGCCGCAGTTGTCCGCCATCAGCCCATCGTCGGTGATGATGGTGATGAAGGGGAGGTTGTGACGGAGGCCAATCTCGTAGTCGTTGGGGTCGTGCGCCGGAGTGATCTTCACGGCGCCACTGCCAAAGTCCATCTCCACGTAATCGTCGAGGACGATAGGCAGGCGGCGGCCGGCGATGAAGGGATGCAGGGCTGACTTGCCGTGCAGCGCCTTGAAGCGCTGGTCGGAGGGGTGAACGGCGATGGCCGTGTCACCGAGCATCGTTTCGATACGCGTCGTGGCGACCACAATCTCCTTCGGGCCGTCCGCTTCTGGGTTTTCAATCTGTAGTGAGTTAGAGCAGTGTTAGTAAATCTTGTTGAACGTAAAACCTCTTACCAAACCGTACCTGATAGGCAAATGAGTGCATGACGCCAAACTCGACCTTCTCCGGGTAGCCGGGCACAGCCAAGAAGGTCCTCCCCGTCAGCTCCTCCTTGTTCACCTCAATGTCGCTGATGGCGGAGCGAAAGGTGCAGCTCCAGTTTACCAGGCGCTTGGTTCGGTAGATGAGACCGCGCTCGTGCAGCTGCACAAAGGCCTCCGTAACCGCCTTGCACATCTTCGGGTCCAGTGTGAAGGTGGCCCGGCTCCAGTCGGCGCTGANGTAGCCGGGCACAGCCAAGAAGGTCCTCCCCGTCAGCTCCTCCTTGTTCACCTCAATGTCGCTGATGGCGGAGCGAAAGGTGCAGCTCCAGTTGACCAGGCGCTTGGTGCGGTAGATGAGACCGCGCTCGTGCAGCTGCACAAAGGCCTCCGTAACCGCCTTGCACATCTTTGGGTCCAGTGTGAAGGTGGCCCGGCTCCAGTCGGCGCTGATGCCGAGAATCTTCAGCTGCTCGTAGATGCGGTCGCCCTTCTCGTTCTTCCACTTCCACACCTCCTCGACGAAGGCCTCACGGCCAATGTCGTGGCGCGTGATCTGTCGCTCACGCATCAGCTTCTTCTCGACGACGATCTGCGTGCTGATGCCAGCGTGGTCGCAGCCAGGGTTCCAGAGCGTCGTTCGACCGGACATGCGGTGCCAGCGAGTCAGGCTGTCCTCGATGGCGTTCGTCAGCGCGTGGCCCAGGTGCAGGTACCCGGTGACGTTCGGCGGCGGAATGACCATCACAAATTGGCCCTTCGGGTTCGGCTTGCTGATGTCCCCGTCGGGGGCGTTGTATTCGGGCTTGAAGTAGCCCTGCGCCTCCCACCAGTCGTACCAGACGGCCTCCACGTACTTGGGACTGTAGGCGTCGGGCATCGGGTCGCTGGCGACGTCCTTCTTCTCGCCCTTGGCGATGGGGCGGTCGTAGGTGACCACGACCTTCTTCGTCGCCTTGGCCTCCTTAGCGGCGGCCTTCTTCGAGTCACCGGCGGGCTTCGCCGCCGCCAGCTTCTCCTGCTTCTGCTTGAACTTCTCCAGCTTGGCCAGTCGGGCAGCCTCCTTTTTCAGCTCCTTTTCCGACTTAACCGGCGCCGCATCTCCGGCTGGTTCAGTCGTTGCTGCTGCTGGTTTTGGCTCTTGGTCCATGTTTTGATTTGAAGTTTTTGGTGTTGGTGTGAATCAGTGAGTCAATCAATCAAAGTGAGTGCGTTGGCACCATCAACAGCTGAGATGTGGGGTGATCTGTCGTCGACTGAGGGTGATGCAAGTCTGCGGTAAGAGGAGAAAGAGAGAACAAAAGTGTCCACGCGTGTTGTGTTGGCCTGTCTGGGAAAAGCAAAGCCGGCAACATTTACTGGAAAGTCTTTCCGGCAAATCGGCGCTCGGTGGCTCGTTTTTTCAACCAGAGAGGTCGACACTGGACAGTGTTAAAACCTTTTCAAAGCTAGAAACTTAACCAGTTGTTGAGTGCTGTTGAAGCTTTTTCAGTAACGGATTTTTAAACTGTAAAAAAATATTTGTGAGATTTTTGGTTTTTTTGGTTCAGACAGTGAAAACGGCCTTTTTTGCTTTGTGAAATGATGTTGAAAGCTTTTCTGACATTCACAATCACATTCCGTATCTTTAAGTAAAACAAAGTTAAAAAAATTTTTAAAAATTATTTTTGATTAGAACTTAGTGCACTTCCGGTTTTGTTTTTGGATGTAAACCAGTATTTCTTTCATCATAATAATTTTGAAAACGTAATAAAATACTAGCTGAGTTTTAGAACCGTCTCGTCAACAAAACTTTGAATTTTAGACTTAAAAAAGCAAAAAATTGATATGAAAGTTTGTTTATTTGATAAAACCGGAAGTACAAAAAGGGGAGTTGCCCCAAAAAAGGGGGCGTTGCCGCTTCAGCGGATCGAACGCTGGACCTTCAGATCTTCAGTCTGACGCTCTCCCAACTGAGCTAAACCGGCGCCTCTTGGAGTGTACTACCGAGTAAGCCAATTTAAGGAAAGCTTAAAATTGATCAAAAGTTGGCTTCTCTGCGCCACTGCAATTGTCAAAAACATTTTTTCTCAACAATCCTTAGCTTGATTGATATAAAATAATGAGGTAACAGGCTCAAGTACTCTTTAACTGTAATAATTACTTTTTATTTCATCAGAATCGGGCAAGTGGTTGCAGAAATAAACTTTCTGAAAGATATCTATCTGGTCCATAGAAATACATGCGCAAAGAAGCCAACATTTCAGTAACCATGTTTCTATTGTGAAAGAAAAGGGTGATGGGCGTGTCAGATTTGAATAAAAATTCTAAACTCTTCTTCTAACTAAAACCAATAACACATTATAAAACTTATGCAGGTACAACAGCGCTGTACTGAAACAAATAATTTAATGAAAGTAAGGTGCTAGTGATGATGAGTAGCAAACTCCATTGGAGGGCGTTCCGGTCCGAGGGTGATGGACATTCGGCGAATGCTGCAAAAAAA